TACCAAGTCCAATGTTGATGGTTGGTGGCCTGTTCCAAATCTGGTGGGATCCTTCACGTAATTATGCATCGGATGTGCGTCTATAAACTGTGATAAGTTTCGCTCGGAAGGGTGGTGATAGTTCTGGCCTTTTATGAAATTGGGACAATTGGAGTCTCCCATCATGACAACATGAGTGAACTTTACTGAGAGAATATTTCTCATAGTCTGTAAGAGTGCATCGNTCAATACCAAGTCCAATGTTGATGGTTGGTGGCCTGTTCCAAATCTGGTGGGATCCTTCACGTAATTATGCATCGGATGTGCGTCTATAAACTGTGGTAATTTTCGCTCGGAAGGGTGGTGATAGTTCTGGCCTTTTATGAAATTGGGATAATTGGAGTCTCCCATTATGACAACATGAGTGAGCTTTATTGAGAGAATATTTCTCATAGTCTGTAAGAGTGCATCATTAGCTAAGTCTGAGGATACAGGAGGGCGGTAGACTATACCGATCGAACAATGGCTATTTTTGGACAGCCTCATTGTGCACCAAGGTGTGTCGTGGGCTGCATCGAAGAGATCAAGTGGTTCACATTGAAGATTGCTGCAGAAATATAGCAGCATACCGCCACCTCGTGTAGAACGATCACGCTTCAGCAGCGACATTCCGGATAGGTGCAATTCAGAATCGGGAATGTCGGCAGTCAACCAAGTTTCGGTAATGGCAACAAGATCCCACTGCCCAGTTTTCAAGCGCATTTGAACCCCAGGGAGTTTGCTAATGATGCCTTGTGCGCTTGGGAGCTAGGAAGCGTCTCTTTCGGAATCCGCTGGGTTTCCAATCGTTATTTATGCTGACCAATCTGTGGTTAAACCATGTTTATTTACACATGCTTTTCTGTATAAGTCGCACATCTGTAAACACGAATGTTCTAGTCTTGCTGTAGTACAGATGAAATCCAAGGACTGACCAAGGTTTTTCAACTCAGGCACTCATGCAAATTACGTACAACCCTTGGTAGCCATTCATAACAGCTTTAGTATCTGTCTACTCACCAAATTTGAGTAGCCCAGTTATTATTGCATCAAAAATCGAGTACAATAACAGTCATTACAAATTATTCCCACATGCCCACATAACACATAACGAGAAGAAAAATTGGCAAACAAGCCCATTTTCAGTACCCATGAGTCATGTTATTACAATACAATATATGCACGACCATTTTCGTACTGGAAGTAATTAGCTAATCACACCTGATCCATGGATGGAACGGATCTGAATGAAGTGATTAGTGTTCGAGGGTTTCCATCATAATTGCTTCCCACTTTGAATTTGGGTTGCCTGAACCCTAAAACCAATGTTATTCTTCAACATTCACGACGTATGATTCGAGTTTAACGAAGAAATATATCGCCGGCGAGTTGGTATGGAGATGAGATCCCCGCTAGGGCCTTTGTTTTCCTTATGTTCTTATGTTCAAAATAGAAAACGATCGGCTTGAAAAACACCCAACTTGGATACTTCACCTATTTCTCCTCACATTTCAGATGGCATGTTATGGTTGTCATGAATCATTCAATTGCTCAGGGGTGTTTGAAAACCAGTACGCAAATAGTAGCACAAAGACATGCGGTGAGGTAAACGAAGTGCTTATAGTCGAACTACTACTCGGTCGACACGGTCTGAGCCTTCGATGGAAGGCTCAACCGATCCGGTCCCATACAATACTTTGTGAGTTCTACTATTCTGTTTTCGGCCCCACCCACTATCTGTTTAGGTTTTATGATTACACTCAACTAAAATCGTCTAATCATCATACCAGGTGCCTGAAAATAATACAGGAAGCACATTTTGGTGTCTAGACACAGTACAAGATATTTGAATATCACCAAATACCGCTGTACCTCTCTTACAGAAGCTTCCATAACAAAACGACCTGACAACCACACTACAATTTTTAAGAATAGCACCCCATTTATAGAACATAGAATCGTCAAATTAAACATTATCAAGCCTTTTGTCGGACCAACTGCTCTCATATATGCAGTGCATTCTTCAATCAAACCAGACCAACTGTGTCTGGCTGGCTAAACAAACGAATGGTCGGTCGTCATTGCCGATCAAATTATTCTCTCTCTGTGCGTGTGTGAACCAGGTCACGTGAACTGAATACCAATCCAACTAGTCGAACTGAACTGTCATGGAGAGCGTGCTTAAAAATCCGTTTCGCGTTTGGTATTCGACACCACCGGCATTAGACTTTAGACAAAAACTCACTGGTTAATCCAATCAAAATTCAGTGAATGAAGCTATAAAACCCTTTAGTGCACAGAGAGCACGAGAGAGAAATCAGGTCGAGAAAAAGGCTGTACAACTGCATACTGCATAAGTGGTAACAAACACGCGCACCCTTACAAACCGCCCTGAACAGCCAGAAACACAGAAAAAAGCCCACCGGAATGCACGTGAATGTCAAAATTTTGACTGATTATTTTGCTATCGCGGTGGATGGCAAAGAGAAAATTGAATGGTTGTTTCAAGAAGCGGTTCGACGCTACGGAGAGCAGTGGAACGGGGAACTGAAAAAAACCGTCCAATCCTCGGGGACCAAGCGGAGATTGTCCACCAGTTCGACTAGCAACAGTACCGTTAATAACAGCAGCAGCGTGAACAATGATGCATCCACCGGACGAGATTCACCGAGCACATTGCCCGGACGAATTACTGCTATGCGAAGAGAACGCGATCACGCGGTGCTCAACAAGTCCGACCTGATCAGAGATGTCTTAAAAGATGGGGACAGTGTGGTAGCAGGTATGTTGAAACGGTTCTGGCGTGTAGATGCTTTGAAAACATAAACGCTGATTTGGAAAGCCACTGATGGTTTCACCTGCCACGGGCCTTATTCGAATGTTTGAACTATCGACGCAATGCGTTCGTGAATAAGTGTGGTTATAGAAAAGCTTCGATTAGTTACACACATATATACTGGTTAGGAAGTGAGGTGATTTTAGAAGTGAGCAGATGATGAAGTACATGGCCCATTAAAATCCTTGAAAATGAATTCAGAGCATGCTCTTCCCCTGGAATCAGCAGAAAGTTATTCACGGTGAAAGTATTGGCGAGAAAATAGGGCCATTTTTCTGTATCTTGTCGTATAAAGACATTGCTTGTTTGTGCTACCGTAAAGAACTTGATATGCATAGTGGATCCACGCCAAAATTCCCAATGCAGTATTTAGTTTTTGTAAGGAGACACAGTTTAGCGAAAAACTTTGTTTTTGGCGATTCATCAACTGGCTAATATACTACATTTTTGATAGAGCATATTTTTGTGTAGAAAGAGACTGCGGTACTTTTTTTGTCAGTTCCAAAAACCGGAAGTGGCCCTCAAATTCTTTTTAATACAGTAAGACCGTGTAAATTATGTGATCTGTGGTGAGCAGGGGGAGGGACGGAACAATGCGAGGTGTCACAAATGTTTTATGGGGAGCATCAAAGTGTGGGGGATTGTAGATCAAGTCTGAATAACATCCACAGTACTAATGATGAGATTTTTATTCGGCTTAGATCGGTGGCCCCGAACACGGTAGACAGAACAAAATGGAGTAGCGAACAATCTGGTTTACAGATTTCCGTATTCACGCCAATGCATCTCAGTATATGTTACTACTTGGAAATAAAATTGTCCAGTGAAAATAGAATAAAATCACATCACATCACGTTGCATCACAGATTATTAAAAACGATTTCATCACGCGACTGGAAATTGGATTCACCACCATTACATCATTTTATATCCATTCAACTTAGATGACAGTGATACGGTGATATGGTATTCGTGTTTGTGTAGGATTAAGCGCCTGCACAATATTTTTTCGGAGTACACAGAGGGTGTTTGTTCAGACAAATGCCCACCGCTTCTGCTGTAACCAGCATTCGACAGCGAACC